CCTCAACTTTTAAACCCATTATTCCTATAAGACAGTCTCAGGATTTTTATATATAAAGTCTTCTTAATAAATAGTAGGTGATTTCTTTGTTAGTCTTAGTTCACATTGGGTTCTCTGGCATAAATATCAAAAAAGAATAAGCAAGTGGATGGAAAACCCCTTAAAAAGATTCTCTTTATAGTTTCTTCATTGATCCTCCTCTGCCTTTCTTCACTAAACTTCTGTTAAACACAACCACACATTTATGTTATTGGACATCTTTGTTTGGTGTTGAACAATCTATGAACTAGATTCAAAGGGGAGATGTAACTCTTTAACTTCTCTTTCAAAGGCTTAAACGAATTCTAATGTTTTTAATTGCCGGTAATCCCCTGCATTCTCTAACCCATACACAAACCATTTCACCCCAGGCACTTAGTAGAGGAGCCAGAGCAAGGCTCTGTCTCTGCAGGGCTGGCTGGTTCAGAAACATACACATGCCAGCTGCCAGGCAGCTGCTTTCAACCATGTTTGCAAATAGGAGCATTAGCTGTGCACCCAGAAGAGCAGGCATTTAAGGACCTAAAGCATGCAGGCCACTGTTTTGGTGTTCTCAAGGTCTGGCTAGATGGCATATGTACTGTATTGTACAGTCACAGCATGTACTTACACGTGTGCTTGGACATATGCTGTATGCCTTGTCCTGGAGCGAATAAGGACTCTTCTGGGTGAAGTACAGATGCATGTTTAAGTAGCATTCCCCCAAGCACATAAGGCGTCTGTTGCAAGGACTTGTCACAGATATGTGAGGCCACCCAGAAAATACCACAGGCTCAGAACTACAAGGTGCTTTTCCTCCCTGTGTACAAGACAGTTCTAGCCACAAACAAGCACTCAGCATGTGCCCTGATAGGAAGAAGCCTTGGATCATGGACTGTCCATCCTAGCCTCCTGAGTGTTCCATTGTGGCCATTACCAGCCTGCTCTGCCAGCACAAACCAGTTTTTTTCTGTGTCTCCTTTGAGGCGGTCACAGTTGACAGCTCATAGTGTGCTTCTAGAGCAGCAGTGTGGTTGTCCAAACCCACTGGGTGTTCTGGCTGGAAACAATGGGTCTGTTGTAGGTAGGATCATGTGCAATATTAAAAAGTTGTGAGTGCCCAGGATTTCACCACACATTTATCACATCAAGGGTACTGATCGTCTAAGCATGGCCTTTCAGAATGGGTATTGTCTCACAGAATCTGAGGACATGGAAACTGTATTCTAGTACCTAAAGAACATAGTTCTGCACACAAACTCCCAGGGTTCAAGAAAACCAACAGGACCCACAAGAACTGGGTGGCCTCTCTCGCTGGTTGAGAGATCTGTTTCTTATAGGTAGTCAACCTTGAAACCATAGACACACAACAAAAACAGCAGGTTCTGTTAATATATATTTGTGCATACAGATGTACATGTATGTGTATAACAAATATAATTTTTATAAAAGAGGCTAACCCCTTGAGAGTTGGGGCACATGGGAGGGGTCTGGGCTGGTGACTGGGAGGGCTGGAAGGAGGGGGAAATGATCCAATTCTATTTCAATTAAAAACATTAAAAGTAAAATACATTTTTTAAAAAAAGAGCCAGGAGGTTAATGCTCTTTACCCCATGTGTGACACTCAGTGCCCACTGCATTTTGAATGACTGTTCCCTAGCAATCCCACTCTACATCAACATCTACCCCTGTGAGCCACAGCCATGTCTACCTCCGCTCTTTCTAGCACAGTGTCAGCAGTCACTTAGAGAGTGGCACAAGGTGGTGCATTTTGGGAACTTGCCCGTTGCAACAAACAGTTCTGGAATTCATTTGATATCATAATTTATTGAGTTAGGCCCAGGATAATTGCCCTATTTAAAGTTTGTTAAGGTAGCAGAAGTAGACAAGCAAGAATGCATGTGTTCTGGCTTATACTGTCTTTCCTTGGCCAGTTTGCCTCTTTGGTAAAACGAGAAAAAGAAATTGAAACATTCTTACTTGATGCTCATTGGATATTGCTTGACCCCAAAGATGGGCAGGCACAAGAGACACAGGTGAACGCTGTGTCTGAATGCAGTTGTGAACACAGTGCTCGTTTGTATCTGTATCCCCCATGGTGATTTCCACAGAGAACTGTGTTGTCAATGCTGCTCAATCCAGGGTCTCCTAAGAAACTGCAGAGCTGTTGTCACCCTTTCCAAAGTAGGACTTAAAGACAAAGGGAACATTCTTGACCATTTCTTTTCCAAACAAGTGTTCCTAGAGGTTTTTAGGTAGATAAACAGATAATAGTTTAGTTTACTTCCTGTTGCTGTGATGAAACACCAACCGAAAGCACCGAAAGCAACACAGGGAAGAATTTATTTCTCCTTCGGTTTGAAGTCCTTCATGGAGGCAAGTCAGGGCAAGGACTCCAGGCAGGACTGAGCCGAGACCGCGGAGGAGCGGAGCTTACTGACTTGTTCCTCTGGTTTGTACTTATCTAGCTTTCTTATAACTCTCAGGGATGGCACTGCTCACAGTGGTCTGGGCTGTCATTAATCAAGGAAATGTCCCCACAGACTTACCCACCAAACTGATGGTGGCGTTTTTCTCAGTTGACTAAAAACTAACCAGGACAGATAGATGTAAGAGCCAAGTTTAGTCATGAAACTGTGTGAAACATCGGGTTTGTCTTAGTTCACTGTGTAGAATCAGTTCATGCTGATGCTGGTAAAACATTCTAGTGTGGGATTTGATCCTTTGATGGGAACTATTGTATTGTGTGGCCAGCAGCTACTTTTCCTGATCCTCCAAGTTCCAAGTTTTCCCTTCATTTTTCATCTTAACAACCACATTACAAACAAAATTCATCAAACTTCACAAAATATTTTTTGAGGAAAAGCCAAGCTGTTTGTATTTCTCTCTTGTTGCCACAATCACCATTTGAGGCACAGGGATGGTGGGGGATGGGCAGTTAGTTGGCACAGGATGTGTACTGGGTATCTCTGTTCCAAGGATGAGACCAGGTCACATGTATGCTGGCAGGTTTGAGTTGAGTGAACCACTTCAAAGACACAGGATGGTCAAACTTAACTGTGTAGGTTGGCTCTGAATAAATGGTTTTACCCTCTGACAGTTACTGTCATTTCATTGTACATAAAGCAGTTATGTAATTATAGCAATGTTTCAGATATTAAAAGAAAATGTACAATAGTTGATTAAAAGCCATGTTTAAAGATTTTCCTACAATTGGGCGCTGCATCAAGAAACCTAACACCCAGGGAAGGCATGTGCCCTGCTGTCCAATCAGGTGGGATCTACTTATATAACACGGCCTGCATCTGGAAGGTGCTGTACAGAACACACTGCTAGAGTGGCCATGGAGACCCAGGACTTTGCACTAACAGCCCAGCAGAACAACCAGAGCATCCGTTCTCTTCCTTGCAAGCTTCTTACTGAAAAGAAGAACATGGTGCTTTGAACTTCAATTGTACATATAAAGGCATCATGGTGTAATTTTCTGTCCATGTTTTCTCAATATGGAGCTATTTAAATCTGAATTTGAAATAGAATAAAAACACTTTAATCTGTAGCTCAAATTGAAAATACTATTATTGTCTTCAGACACCCAGCATAGTTAGCAGGTTCTGCATGTTGGGAGCTGGTTTTACTTCTCTGTGCCTCGCCCTGCGTACCGGGCATGGTAGAATGACTGCATTACTGTCTGTAGACCGGAGCCACCCCTGCCATCTGAGGTCTTCTCACTGCTGACTGCAGCCCACACATTGCCACGCGACTGTTCTCTGCTGTTGATATTGGCCTGTAGTTGTCCACGCAATCTTGTTCCTCCTGTACCCAGTAGGGATCTTCTTCTGGTCCCTTGCTGCTCTGGTTCATGGCCTCAGAATGTCCCCGTAAATCTTCTTCCAACCTCACCTTGCACCTCTAGACAAGCTAGTAGACAACAGACACTTTTGTAGGTTTCCACTATCGTGCCTCTCCCCTCAAAGGCACAAATTTGGAACTAAGTTTTCTTTTTTATTTGTAATTTTTAAATTACTTCTCTTTATTTTTTGAGATTATAATTACATAATTTCCCCCTTCCTTTTCCTCCCTCCAAACCCTCCCACGTACCTCTGCTTACTAGGTCTCAAAATCATGGTGTCTTTTTTTCATTGTTGCTACATACCTATATGTATATGCATATATATTTCTAAATACAACCTGTTCAGTCTTTATAATGTTACTTGTATGTTTGCTTTCAAAGCTGACCATTTGGTATAAAATAGTGATAAGAATTTTTAGGCATCTTCATTGGTCTATACAATGAATTTAACTTGTACACATAAGTGTAACTTGAATTATCCAGATAGAGAACAAAATCATAGCTGAAGAACGTCCCCTCATGCCCTATTCCCTGTTGTGTAAGCAAATGTACCACTCAGTTTTGACTAGACCCGTTTTGAACTTCACATAATAGATTCCTTCAGCTGTCTTCTTGATGAGGCATCTTTCCTGGGAGCGGGTTCTTGAGACCTTCAGAGTTCCTGCAGATCCAAGTTGTCTTCAGTTCTGGTGCTGAGAGAAATCTGGAGGGACTCAGATGTAAAATAACTAACACCTTGTTGGGTTTTAAGTGTGTAAGATGTACTTAAAGCTCCTCCAGTCATCAAACTGCCTACAATTCTAAATTATCCTGGTTAACAATAACTCAACGATCCAATCTGATAGCATCATTCCAAGTGGATAATACTATCTACAGAAACAGAATTTCTTGGGAAATGCATTTGGGCCCAAGTCTCTAAGCCAGGTGTTGCTTAAAGAATAAAATGCTTTAAAGTCATGACAGTTTCAGGTCACAGGCTACCTGTGACTTCACGTAAAGACCTCTCATGTGATGCTGTAGGGCCAACCTCTGGTTTTAGAAGGCACATTGTCAGGGCTTTGGCCCTTTGTCCTTCCCTCACCCCCCAATGTCTCTGGGTGCTAACATGCGCTTCTTATTGCTTTGGTTGCAGGCATGCTGCAGAAGTGCCCCTCCATCGATGACTTTGTGGATGCCCTTGTTTCTGACTTGAATCTGGACTTTGAAACTTTCTTCATGGATTCTAAATAGCAGAAGCATGGCTCATTCAGTTAAGAAACTTGTCACCAGATCCCAGAGCTCTGAAAGCTCCATCTGATTTCAGTCCACTGAGGAAACATTTTCTGACAAGCCTTGAATTGACTGAACCTGGAATAAATAATGTGTTTGAATTACACCTGCTTGGCAGAGTTTTAAGCATTTTTTTTAGTCTATTTGTGAACCACAGAAGTTTCTAATTATAGAGTACCAGTTCCCAGCTTTGTGGCTGTGTCCAGACTACCACCTTTCTGTTATCTCTAATTGAATGTATTAGACCCTCTGCAGAAAGCTATCAATTGTTGCAGGTCAGAACAATTTGAAGAATTCTCAGAGGAGCACCCTATTTTTTTTAAGGAGGACTTCCATTTCTTAAGACCTCTATCCTAATGTCTTGGATAGTCAGCTACAGCAACCAAGAAGCCAAACCCAAGTATTGACACTGACAGGCCATCTTTCCATGGTGTTTAGGTTTTACACTGATGGACTCAGACTGGGAGGATTTGAACTCAGGCTTTGCTGGCATGACTTGGAAGAGACCATTAGTGAAACATGGGCAGGTCAAGCAGTGAGCACACAGGAAACAGGTTCACACCTTGTCTGTCATTCCCCAGAACCCACAGCTTTCTGTTGGTGCCTACTGAGCTGCTGCATGTTGTGAATATGGGGAAAGAAATCATTTCATGGACTACGGTGTCTTCCCCACCATTGAAATAAAAGAGTTATTTGTAGCTTTTCACTCTAAAATGGTATCTGGTGGCACCTCTTCCTGCTTCTCACTAAGTGACCAGTGACAACAGAAAGGAGTCTCCCGACCTGGGACGTTCATAGCACTCAGATTCTAGAAGCTTCCTGTAAGCTCATCAGACAGAAATGTGTCCTCGGTGACCTGCCATGCTGGCGCCTGCATGAAGGTGCTGACCCTTCTCACCTGCCCACATGTGCACATCCAGATCTGGATTAATGGGAAAGAAAGTGGTTGGCACTCTGATGCCAGCTTCCTCACAGCTAGGGTGGTATAGTGTTGTCTTGTCTGATCCCCTAGTCTGAGGCTTGATACACCAACCCTAGGCAGCACCTGGGAGCCTGCCTGTTCAGAGTCTGCCAGGAGCAATCAAAGCAGGACAGGTTGGGTGGCATTGGTGACAGAATGGGTTCCAATGCCAAAGCCTGGCAGGGGAGGAGCCAAATCCCACCCTGTTTGTTCTCCTTATCTGATTTGAGTACAGACATCTGATCATCTGATCTCTGTAGACTTGCTCTCAGATGCCAGCTCTGTTCTGGGAAATGTCCTGGGTGCGGGGGTGGGGTGGGGACTGGGGGGGGTCATCAGGCTGCCGTCAGCTGCAGAGCCATCTGAAGAGGTGCTATAGCAGGCTCTGTGGTATCCCCAGGGTGCCAAGCCCCTGTATCTTCATCAGGGTTACTGTTACCAGAAATGTGGGCTAATCAGGGGAGTTGAGGCAGATTGGAAAAGCAAGGATAGGCTAGGCCCCTTTAAAGAGGGCTGTTTCTGATTCCTGGAGGACTTGGCAACTGCTACAGCTACTAACTAACCATAGGAAGAAAGAGCCTGCCCAAGTGAGGATACTGGGAGGACCAGTCAAGGGAAGGGAAGGGATTTAGGAACAGGAGGGTCCTGGGGTCCCATAAAATGTCCTTCAAGCCCACTTGGTTCTCTGAGGCTGTCATTTTCTCAGTGCTTTGGTCTTTCCTATACACAATTCTCACAGAATAAACATTGGTACCCCAGACAATCATCCCTCATCCCACAATCTTCACAGCTATGTGGATTTGAAGACCCACCCAAAATCAATGTACCTGACCAAAATAATGATGGAGGACTCTATATGGGTGATTAACAAATCCAGCATTCCAGTCAACCCCATGGAAGGAGAGGACCTTGGGCTGCGATTAGCATAACCCAATCTCTGGTCTTTGTGGGATCTAATGGCTTTGAACTCATAAAGCTAAACAGTGCTACCACACTCCCCAGTAATTGGAGGAACCAAGGTAGGGTTCATACTGCCCCTCCCAAACTAAGGTATAGGCCATCATCCTAGAGGAAATAGGCACACTGCTGGGGAGCTTTTATCCTAGCCCTGTACTATTGGGTTGATCTTTTTGTCTTCACAGTGCTTGGGCAACTTTTTTTTTTTTTTTTATGAAAGCCTAGACATGACCCATGAAAGATTAATACCCCTTAGTGGACCATCAGGACTTTACCCAGACCTTTCTCTTGGCTTAATTCCTCTTCTTAGTTAGGGTTTCTATTGCTGTGAAGAGACAGCATGGCCACGGCAACTCTTACAAATAAAAACACTTCACTGAGGTGACTTCCTTACAGTTTCACAGGTTCGGTCATTATCATCAGGATGGGGAGCAAGGCCGTGTGCAGACAGATGTGGTGCTGGAGCTGAGAGGCCTACATCTTGACTCACAAGTAACAGGAAGTCAACTGACTTTTACACTGAGTGAAGCTTGAAAAGAAGACCTCAAAGCCCGCCCCCACAGTGACATACTTCCTCCAACAAGACCACACCTACTACAACAAGGCCACACAATGGCACTCCCTTTGGAGGTCATTTTCTTTCAAGCTACCACATTCCTCATTACCAGTCCCTTTTTCCCAATATTTCTTTTTCACCTCAGACATTGCCCACTTTACCAGTTTTAGACCCTTTCAACAATACCAAAGAAATGACAAAGTGGAGATGGTACTGTTACAGTAGCTGATAGCCTTGACAGGTACCAGATTGGCCTAGACGTGTGTCTGGCAGCCTCTGAATATGGGCATTTCTACCCATGACTGAACATTCCAGGAGCCAGAGGAAATTTATTTCAGTCCTTTGATGACAAATTCCTGCAAGCTTACAGCTTCTTTACCTCTTAGACACCTTTTCCCAAGAAATAGGATGGTATATCTTGTTTTAAGTAATGGTGCTAACAAAGATATTTAGGTTATAATCAGAACCATGGGAAACCGGGCTCCAGGGCATCTTGGGCATAGAAGGAGGGAAGTGCTGATTCTGAGAGGCAGAGGTAGCTGTTATATTGTGTTGGGCCATGTATGTGAAACAGTCAAACTAAAATTGAAGTTGGTCCCTATGGGAGAGACTGATGTATCTGGTGCTTGCCGGTGGTAAGCATGTATGTGAAGAACGTGGGCAAATGCCTTGGACTGCCTTAATGGAGACAGTCAGGTTCTTACAGAAGGCTGCACTCCAGTACTGAAGAGGCACTTCAGAGAGTTTGACTACATGTATGATTAACCATCTGACAGCTGCCCCGATTGGGAGTGTGGCAGACTGATTCTTGACCTGCTAATGAAATTTCTGAAACAGGATGCAAAATTTTTCACACTGGATAACTGCCTCAATGTGATGGGAGCCCTATTGCTGCTCTTTGAAGAACAGCTGAGGTGCCAGAATTGTCCTGTAGGCATCTCAAAGGAGATTGTGTCCCTCCATAGTTGTAACTGATATTTTACAGTTTGGAAGAAAACTCTGTTTTCAAGATGAGCAACCTCTGAAGATGTATACTGCAAGTCACCTTCCTGACTGCCATATGCCCTGCATGACATCAAATGAGTCAGGCAATCAATTGTGAATTCCTTCATGTGTTTGTGTGTGTTTATTTTTTTTATTTTAAAAATAATGGGAAAATGTATATTTTAATGATCAAGGGTGTTAATTTTTTTAAAAGTGACACAGCAAAGACTCAGAAGTGCATGACTTCCTAGAATGTGATTTTATTGTCTTTTTTCTCTGTGTGGGGTTTTGAGGTTTATTTTTGGTTTTAGTAGACCTTCACGTTAGACAGGTAGAGGAATGAACATCATTGTTTTGTTCTGGAGACTTCTTGATAGTGTTTTCCCATACACCCCAAACTGACATAGATGTTAAAATTAGGTGCCTTTACTAGTTTTAAGTTAGAAGTGATTCAATTAAAATTAGAAAAAAAAAAAAAAAACCAACAACAACAAATATGCTGGAGGCTTGTCTCTTGGTGGTTCTAGGTCCTGTTTAGCTCACAGTGGGTAGCCTGTGTCTCTGGAGGTAGATGAGCGATGGGAGAGCTCTTAGAAGTTGAGATCACATGACCCCAATTTGCAACTTGTATGCCACTGTCACCTAGGTTTCACTGATGATTCAGATCATTCTGCCTAATGGAGCTCTCATCTAATGTTTTCTCCTGGCTCTGCAAGACACACTTTTCCCCCTTACTCCTTGGGGTGACAGACTTCAAAAGGTAATGTTTGGTGGCAGGTAATATTTCTGTGTGCTTGTCCAATTGAGACATCGCTACAGCCGACTGGGCCCCACAGTTTCTGCCAGTTCTGGATTGGGCATGTCTAGCTTGTTAAAGGATCCCAACATAGAACCCCAAGGTCACTTTCAGAATCACATTTGCAGCATCATGAAGTTGAACAAGCTTCAGACGAACCAGTGTTAACCTGGGGCCATTCACACCTAATCTTGACTCTGCTTCTCTGGAGAGAAATTAAAGCATCACTTGTCCTGAGTGCTCATTTCATCTCAGCTACTTTGAAGTCTGGGATCCCAAGCCTGAAAGGGTGCAGGAGACCCTGAGTGACATGTCTTGTCTTTACAAAGTCTCTCTGCCTTCCAAGAAGGAACCAGAAGGAGCCATCAGAGCTTCTGACCAGCAGCCACCATGGTCACTAACAGCTATAGCTCACAAAGCCAACTTAATTTTCTCCACGGGGATGAACAGGTGCAGCCTTGAAGAAATCAGGGCAGGACATGAAGCTGTAGGAGGAGCTGCTGGGCCATATTGTTACTGAATAGAAAGCAAAGAAGGTGAACTGTAGGTTTAATGTCCCACTCCTAAGCATTCACTGTGTCCATCCAGAACACAAGCCAGAGTGCAGGCTGGCTCAATCTCTGCGCCCAGAAAGAAGTCAGGCCAAGTGGACTAGGAGTTTTCAAGTGGAGATCAAACATTCCGGATGTTGTAAGGCCTGGGTATCATTTCAAAGCATCATATGGTACATGCCAAATTCTGCCCTTGTGTCATTTTTCCTGGGTCCCATCCAATTTGTCACATTGTATCACTTAAATGTTGCCCCTAGTAGATTATTTCTGG